GGAAGCGTCGTTCGCGAGAAAAATAGATGTCCCGTATCTTCCCATAGTTGGGACAAAGACTGTTTGTCTGTTTGAAGGACTTCAGTTAACTAAATCTTAAGATTTATAACGGTCCTATGGCTAATTGAACATGTACTGTGGAGATGCGTCGACGTCTGGTAATCATCTTACCCGAAGAATGGTGTTTGCGTGTGGCGGGCCACGGGACACAAACCGTTGGAATGTATACTATCGCGTGCCGCTACAAATATTTCTTTTAAAGAGAGCTATAGAATTACTCTATACCTTTGTTAGACGCAGCGTTCATCCCGTGACCGCGGCTATGTTCGGCGACTGGCTGTCGCCTCGAGTCCAAGCTCATCATCGTAAATCTCGAACAAATACAATCGGATCGAAGGACAACAATTGTTTAATTACGCCTATGATAGAATCTAGATTACGGTGATAAGGGATTTTCCCGAAGTTCCAAAGGGAAGGCTGCGATGTCCTTTCATCTCCGACATATATTTTCCGGCTGGACACAGGATGTATATATGCCATTGTTGGTCTATCATAAATATTTCCGTTGTTGTTTTTAGTACTAGATAAACCAATTATGACCGATAGGTCATTTATTATATTTCCGCATATCCTGCTTTTAATTGTTAGTTTACCTCCTTTGTTTTCAACTTTACCTCCTTTGTTCTAAGCTAAATTTATTTCGAATAACTTTAACCGTGATTTAGTTACAATTAATTTCCTGTATATTCGTATTATGCGGCGATATGAACTATCTACCATATACCACGGTTAATTCAATTCCTCTTATTACTTTTTAGGAGGTATTCGCAGATGTTTATCTACACCTGGCTTTATGGTTCATCATAATTTTGGTCAGTTAATCTCTCACGTGTTCCGCAGACGCTCGTTGCCAGGGTCACGTAGGCCTTTTCTACAAAACTATACAATTGAAAGATCGACGACACATTGATGGACCCGACGGAGCCTCAGCTCTCGCGACATTGTTCATGGTTAACTTGATGATACTTAGGCCCTCTTCCACGATACTACACTCGGCCATCCTGCAGTAACGTCTGCCCTCAGATGTTGTCTTCATTCTCGGTGTCATCGGATGCGTCATCTTCGGCGTTCAGGACCCAAGGTTTCAAGAAATCGGCTGCCGTCGATGTTTGCGCAGGCCCCTGCTCATCACCTACTTTCACCACAGTGTAGCGGTCATTCCGCATGGCTAGCAATACCCGGTACGGACCTAAGAATCTTCCTCCGAGTTTTAACCCTGAGTCAAACTTTTTTTTCGTGGAGTAAATCCGCACGGACGCCAGGCCGCTTCTGGGCAAAGCGGCGTGATGGTGTCGGATTCCAACAGACTAAAATCTCCAATACCATCGCTGATGGAGCGGTGTGTGTCCATGTCACACCGCGCCTCGTCGTCGGAACCGCCGTGCCAGGTAGCCCGGCTCCCCTACCGAGGCGCTGAGTCGCCAGTACCCAAGCCCGAACCTCACCGGGGGGCGCGGCGGACCCAGCGCGCTTCGCCAACGCCACACGGAGTTCCCAGGCGATCGCCCATCCAAGTACTATCCGTGCCCGGCGCTGCTTAACTTTCGTGATCTGACGGGACTGAGTGCACTCAGCGCGGCAAGGGCGTTGGCAATCCTGTGCGAAACTGGTTTCTCTTTATGGCCACTAAATCCCCCCGTCGGTACTGTTTCGCATTCCTCCTTCTTTTATCACAATTTCTTCGATTTTCTTCATGAGTTGCGGCCATCGTCCTTTTTGCTTCCTCACGTAGCTCGCGACGTTATTCTTCAAACTTCTCAGCCCACTCTTCATCGATTAACTTTCTAACCTGTGCATCTCCTTTAATTCGCATTCGACAAGTGGCTGAAAAGGAGCTTCTCCCGTGCTTCTGTTTATTATATAATTTGGATACTCCTGGACATGGTCGACATGTTTGTACCAATCATCGGGCTTAGCAATTTTCGCGTAGCCCCTAATAAATTTTTGAAAATACCCCGTGAGTCCCAAGAAACTCTGAACCTTCTGTATAAAGCGTTTTTTCCGTTTAAAGCGACATTTTTTCCAGTTTGATGGTCTTATAACGCCTTCGTTTGTCCGTAACTTCATCAAATCGTCCATCTCTTTTCCTCAGACGGTGCCAGTCTTCGCGGTCTTCGTACTACGGGTTTGCCACTTTTCTAAACGCTTTCTGCAGTTACCCCGGTGTCCCGCTTCTTCTCCTGCCTATACCCTCTGATGTTATCGCGATTCACTTCACGATAATGAGGTTCCTGTGCGTGCGATAAGTCTATCTCGTCGGTTTGTTCTACTATGTTGAATCTCAATATATCCGGCGCGTCTTTGTAACCGTCAGTCTGTTTGTCAAATCGTAAAAAGGTCACCTCGCCCCACTTGACCCGCAACTCTATCTGATCCAAGAAATCAGTACATAACAGCAGGCTGAGTCTTGCCATTATCTTATTTGAGACAACATGCAACGTGACCGGAAATTCATACCCGTCGGCCGTCATTACCGTTGTAAATTCGCTCCAGGTCTCATTGTCTGTGGAATCAAAACCATCAACCTATCAAACCTAAGTTTACAATTTCGTAGAGGCGGTGGTCCTAACCTCGCATACTCGCCTGATCGTATAAATGTGAGATCCACTACCGATATAAGCTTGCAGTCTTCTATCGACACTTCTTTCATGTATTCCTTCTTCTCGGCTCTTGAAATGAAGTCAGTCTCTTTTGGTCGTGTGGTTCACTTCGCCGCCTTATGTCCAAATTCGTTGCATTTAAAGCACTTAGCATTTAAATGATCCGCACTGCCACAACTGAAACATCTTCTTTTGTCACTAACTGTTTGCCTCGATTGATTTCGCACCTCTGATCGTTTTCCTTTATCATCCTTGCGTTCCGTGAATTTTGTTTTCGCCTTCATATTCCTTTCCATCGCTTCGTACTGTTTGAAGCGTTCTTTCAGCTGTTGCATGTTCGTAGCTCCGTATAACATAGCCTTATTTATGACCTGGTCAGGAATACCTTGAATAATATAGCAGATTTGCGACTGTATTACTTCGTGAGATTGCGGGACAAGAAGGTCCGTATACTATACATGTATTGCTGTAGACTCTCATTTGATC